TAACCCCACCCCAAACTCCAGTTATTTTCTGGGATTCCTGTGAACATGAATCAAAATGCTTGACTATTTCTGACTCCAGCACTGCACTTTCCACAGGAATAGTATTCCCAGTTTCTTACCTATGGTAGTGTCCGTTCTGTTGCCTGGACCTTGCAGAGCTTGATTCACGTGCTGGTGGAGAGGGAGAAGGAGGGGATGTGTGCGTGGGGCACACCGTGGAAATGCTCCAGTCTCTGCCTGTACCTTCCCTCTGTGGATGATGCCGAGCACTGCAGCATTCCAGTTTTCTTGGAGCTAGTCTTACACAAATACTTCAATAAATTAGGTGATTTCAATATGTCTATTGCATAGAAGGAAAAGCAGACAAAAATGTTGGTAATAGAGTTGGCAAATGTAATTAAAAATTATCTTCCTTCCTCTCCCAAGCAAAAAACCAGTGAATGATGCAGGGTTTTCTTAAGAAAATAAAGTAGATTATCATTGTTAAGAAGCTTCTGCATTTTAAACTCAGGATTTCTTTCTTCATTTTGATTTTATTACTTGATATTAAAAAACCCCAGTTTCTGAATCTTGCATTTCTGCTGTTTCCTTACAAGCACCTCAACAAACTTTACAGGTGAATATGCAACAATTTGGCATTGTGTGTTCGACCTGAGAGACCGTGAGTTCAGATGCTGGTGGGTTTTTTGAAACCACAGTTAATTATTAATGCAGTAAGGTCAGCTCCACTGCTTTAATGATGCTAATATGCTTGTTACACTACAGTTCCCTCAGACTGCGGACTGAACGCCTGTCTCTACCCATGTAGATGTGCCATTAGAAGTTATCTTCCCTAATCATTCATTGCCACTCCTGAAACTTGGGAGTCTCACATTGCTCCTGAAACTCCCAGTGGAGCTGCTCATGAGAACACTCCCAGCCCCACTTCGTTAGGATGATCTAAATGAGTTTAAGCAGTAGGTATTTGCTGACCCAGCTCATTTTGACAAAAGCCTTTTAGACTATGTTTACGTAAGCAGGCCGCTTTAGGGAATGGTGTCTGGCAAAGGCGCACTGGTGAGCAGCAAAGGGTTGAGCTGGTGAATGTCTCCTCTTTCACTAACACAAGGTTTAAATGCTTTGTCTTTCTATTGTACCTTCAGTGTAGCTACTGTGATGCTGATGGTTCTGGTTTGGTACTGATTAAATTAGTCCTGTAAAGGAAGAAGAAATAAATTGGTACTTCTCTAGCAATTTATATAGTACTATAGCTATCATTTACAAATAATAGAGAGTTCCACGCTTCAAAATTATGTGATTGCTTAAAACAGTGCATAAACAAAGATTTTAAAGAAGAGTTAAATAACAGGATATTTAGCTTTGGGCATGCAATATTTAGTTGATAATACCTGGATTGTGAACATTTACTAAATTTGCAAATCTGTATTTCAATATATAATAAATATATATTTCAGTGTATTTTTAGTATGTGCATATAAAATCCATGTCAGACTTGAAGGGTTGCATCTCCATTTGTTTTGGAGGGCTTGTATTTTATCACAATTCAAAAATAAACTGATTGGTTTAGTGGAGGAGAAGGAATTCATTTTCCCATCCTAGATAATGCCTCTAGAATGTCAAAATTAAATTAATGAAATTTTAGGAACTATGTGATATGTTAGAAAACCAGCCTGTGTTATTTAGTTCAAAGCTCAATATTTTTAAATGGGCAACTGGATAATGGTATATAAAATGCAAAATGCTAACTCTACCTTCTTGTTCGCTACTGGTTTTACTGTTTATATATGTCTGTGTGCCACTAATTAAGTGTTGAGCATCAGAAATCGACTACTGGGCTTTAAACTGTTGACAGTAGCTTAGAAGTATTTTCTGTATGCTTATGTGTTATCTTAGAGTAAACTTTAATGGTTTGGAAAATAGTAGAAAACATGAAATTTCAAACATTCTTTTCACGTCAACATGCCATTATTTTTAAAGCATACTGTTAAAAGTTGGAATTTTAAGGAATTTGGACACTGAAGAGAAGCTGCTATCATTTAGGAGTGCCACAACAGCAATATTTTTATGTGTGTGTTGGGTCTTATTTCATCATTTAAACTGATTTAACAGTAAAATAAAATGCTTTCCAATTTAATGAAATGGAACTTTATGCTCTTAAGTTAAACCTTTCTCATTTGCTCCTGTGCATCAGCTGTTTATTTGCATATCTGTTGCAACTGCAGTATATATACTGACCTGCTCCCAATTTGTGTCATTAGTTACTTTGAAATATCATTAAAAATTATCCTGGAAGTGACTTGCAGTTCCTGAGGTTTGGAATACGTTGTTAGAATTTCCAGGGAAAGACAGTTTGAAAGATCCAAGTGCTGGGAAGCAGCAAGCTATAAGAAAAAAAAATAATTCGGTGTGGGGCAAGGAAATATATTAGCACTTCCATTAGGGTGAAGGTTGGCCTTTCAATGCAGAGTTAAAAACGTAGTGTTGAATGCTGAGTTATAGTTTAAAGTGAAAGTTTCTTGGAACTAGATCTTGCTTCTAGATTTGTTTTTTAGGGAAACGTAAATAAATTATTTCAAATCATAAAGAAGTAAAGCATGTTTAGCAGCTGCCTGAACCGTATCTTCTAGATGTTGAGTATCACGATTTTGGGGTTGATGTACAGAGATGGTGTAAAACCAGTGCCTTCAGGTTCATTGGAAAATGCAGGTGGCCATGAAAATGGCTATAAAGTTTGTGGCAGGGTTCTTGTTTCCTCTATGTAACCTGAATAGCTGAATCAGTTTCTACACGGGGATTGGAGAGGGGAATAAAATGAAAAACAAGCTAAGAAATTTAGTAGAAGTTCGGGAAAAATGCTCAGAAATCTCCAGAGCCGAGATGTGCTGTGCTTCTTTCTGTAAGAAGGATCAGCAACCGGAGCTTGGGCACATGACCTCAAGCTACTCAATGCGAATGAGGGAGCATATCCCCAGGTTTTTGGCAAAGGGAGCAGCTTTCTCACTGTTCAAAGCATGCTATCAACTAAACCAGTCTCTGGCTGCAGTGCTAACTTTGGCAGGAGAAGAAATGGTTGGATGCTCTCTGAAGATAGAAGGCAATGAGGTAAGATACGGCTTAACATGAGCTGAAAATGAAGAATCCAAATTGAGTAATTTAGATTGCGATAGTATTTCATAATAATATAAATGGTTTCTTTCAAGGTTATGAAAAGGAAAATAAGTGTATGCACATTATCTTGTCCCTCTTACATGATGCTGATAAAATGTATTATACCAGTGTGATGAAGAAGTTAAATTATTGAAGATACAATTTTTAGTGCTGTATAAAATGTATTTTGCTTTGTTTGCATGTTTTTCCCCTTTGTAGGCTAATCAGAAAGTCAGACTGAGTTCACACAGTGCAGATCTTGTTCTCAATGTAAAATTGTAAATTTTTTTCTGCATATAAATGGATGTCACTTTATGAATAATGGAGAACGTTTCTTCGTGTTTCAATATTGTATATGCAAGATGTTGTTTATTGTAAAGGGCTTGACAGTCTGCTCACTGCATTTGTTCTGGAGAGAAAATTTTGAAAAAGTATTTAATGCAAACCAAAGCCATTTGTCTAACAAAAACCTGGTTTACATGATGCTGCATGCTCTGAACGGATTATTGCTTAAATTTATATGATTTTATGGAATGACTGCGACAGCTTTGAAATCTCCAAGCCTTACAGTACCTTCCTAGGTTTTTGTGCTATAGAAATATATCCCTTACGTGCATATAGAAATTAAGGTTGATGATACTTTTTCTTGGGGGAAAATTTGAAAATAACTTTGTCTCCTCATATGGAGCATCAGCCATGTACATGGTCTTATTTCTTAAGTGGGAAAAGAGTTAAAATAAAAAGTAGATGAGCATCATATGTGAGCCCCAAGAGCCACGGTTTAGACAGCCGAGAATATTTATCTTTGAGGCAAAAATCCATTTTCAATCTGAGTTTTAAATCTAAAATTACATTTTTTACATCCCTCCAGGCAGAATTCTTTATCCTTATATGTGCTTTTCATGGTTCAATTTTTCTGTCTTCTGAGAAGTTTAAGTTTGCCCAAGAAAGCTATACTTCTACATACTTTTAGAATAATGTATCTTCCTAGGGACTGTACTGGTAAAAAAAAACTTATCTTCAAATCTCCTTCCTTATTGTCTTCCATAGAGACTTGTTTTTTTGAGAATTGCTCACTTTTCCTTTTGGGAGTTTTTCATAACTTGAAATGCAAAGGTTTCCAAGAAGATAAAAGATATAGAAGAATAACAGATAAAAAGATAGAGTTTAAACCTTTTTTTTCCTTCTTCTTCTTCTTTCCTTTTTCCTTCTTCTTCTTCTCCTTTCCTTTTTCCTTCTTCTTCTTCTTCTTTCCTTTTTCCTTCTTCTTCTTCTTCTTTCCTTTTTCCTTCTTTCCTTCTTTTTTCCAAAATGTATACATTTGTAAAAGTTAAAGAGAGCAAGCTTTTTAGATTTTCTTTCTGATAGATTTTTATAGTAGTATTTTATAAAACCTTACTGATTAGAAACAATTAGATTTTTTTTTTTCCTTAAATTGAGTTATTTTCCTGAAGTAACATGGATTTATGCTAAAGAATCCAGGTCAAGGATTAAGACCTCACTTTTTACTCTGGAATGGTATTCAGTAATCTTAAGTCCAGCAATTTAGAGGATTTACAAATACAGATATAGTTCTGAGTTTGTTTCCTTTGCTAAGTAAATAAACTCATAAATACCTGTCTGTACTTTGTGATATTACACTGATGTTTAAATTCCAATTTGTTGAATAGAATTATTTGTATCTTTATCTCTCTGTCCTCATGCATAAATATCACAAATTGACAACCAAAATCTTTCTCATGGTCCAGAACTTGCCATAATGTTTAATATATGATGCAGACTGTGTCAAGCCCTTAGTTGTAGTATTCTAAGTTTACGTATATAACTGTTTACGATTTTGTTGCATTTACTAGGTTTGCTGGGATGGGTAATCTTCTTAAGGTCCTTACCAGGGAAATTGAAAACTATCCACATTTTTTCCTGGATTTTGAAAGTAAGTTCAAACAATTTCAAGACAATGAGAGAATCTTTTCCCTGACTTAACAGCGAACTGAGGAAAAACACTTAAAAACTGATTGCTTGCTGTGTGTATTTTCCAGCACAACCGATCTGTCCAAGTCCTTGTCTCTAAAATAATTTGTTCACTCAGGACTCCTTTTCTCTTCCTTTTCTATTTTTCAGGAACCAAATGGGAAATCTTTTAAAAGTTCTCACTTGCACAGAGCTTGATCAGGGGCCAAATTTTTTCCTTGACTTTGAAAGTGAGCAAAGCTTCTTGCCTGGCTTGCCTTCTTTGCTTATTATTTCCTAATAAACTGCATGCGCTTACGCATCATAAAGCAATTCAAAAGGGATTTGCAAACAAATCAAATTACACTTCAGTTGAATATTGCTTTTTGATATTTATAAAACCATACAAAATTACTTAAATTCGGAAAGGGGACAGAATGATAGATATGCAAGTAAAACCTTACCTTGAATTAGTTTCAAAACATTTATGAGCTATTGTTAAATTTACATATGGATGAACTTCACCTCAGCTTTCTTTAACAGTCAGGGTTAAAAAAAATGTTGCTTCCTTGAATGGATTGGAAATGAAAATAAAAAGCTGAAAAAAAATAAGCAGTGGAGGTGGCACTGGTTTTGCCTGGTTCAGTGATGATTTAACTGGGTTTATTATGGTTTCTAAAAAGTAGTGAAGTGGTCAAAGTGTATGTGCTTGATTGCATCTCTCTTAATTGCATGGTTATCAGTTTGCAAAACAGTGTTTCGCATTCTAATTTCCTTGTCACGTCTGTATCTGATTCAAAGCTATTTCACTTTTGCTGGTTACAGTTTCCCTGCACGTACTTCTAGACATTGTCTTGAAAACTGGTCATCAAATGCTTAAGTATGGGTTTAATCTTACTCCACTACATACATGAAATGCTTTTTATTTAAAATGCTAACCGTGTGTGATGGTTTGTCTCTTAATACCTTTATTCTATAAAAAAAAAAAGTTTTGAGAGAAGCCAGTGTTTTTGAAATAACTTTGTTTTGAAGCATGGTTTAAGAGAGATTTTCAGGTGATTAGACACACATTTTATCACCTTGAAATAGTTTTCTTGAATCATTTATTCCTGAATTATTTTTCTGAAAAAAAGTTACTGACATGTTATGAGACTGTATGTGTGTACACACTCTGAAGCACTGGTACAAAAAGTGATTTAAACACATACATCCCGTTAAATTGTTCAAACATGCTTTCTTGGATGAGAGCTAGGGTGTATGACTATAACTTTGCGCATATCTTAATCTTCTCATCTAGATCTTCTTTACCTCATTATGAAGAATCAGTTTTAAAGCTGAAAAAAACTTAATTGGTTAGCTTGGTTTAGGAGAAGGTACTGTGAGCCATGTATCCCTTTTTCTCTTCTGTCTATAGAATTTGAACATTTTATTGTAAACGCGGGATGTCAAACCTTTATCCAAACCACCATGTAATTTTTTTCTATCAAACTTTTGAAGGCTTCGGTAGCACTCTGTGCCTTTGCCAAGCTGTTATGAAGCTTTTCAGCTGCTCTGAGCTTCCAGGTTTAATCGTGTCCTGGATGGTAAGGAAGTGCTCCTGACCCAGGCTGCAGACTAGGCAGGAAGCAGGTTGTCTGGCAGTGGGAAGCCTTGGTGGAGCGGAGGTGATGGTGAGAGGAGAAAATACCTGTTTTATTGCCTTGGCAGTGAAGGTTTTGGTTTGGTTTTTGGTTTTTTTTTCCCCCAAAAGTGCATTGCCAAGAACTGAACAGGGTGAAGCACCCTCTCCTGCGGTAGGTGACCAGTGGTTAGCGCAAAGCACATGGGCATGCATGTTAGGCACGTCTCTCTAGAGAGGAACAAAACTATCATCTCCAAATTTCAGTGAGTTTGACACTCCTGAGAGAAAGGTTAAATGTTTTACTTGTGAAATAAAGTCCTGGAGGTTTTTATGGCATGAAATCTGTATTGTGTCGAAGGGATGTGACTGAAGATGCCTGTAGTTGCGTGCTTTGGTCCCCTTCAATTAGCCATCGTATGGTGTAAAAGAACACTCTTCATTAGTGGACATAGGTAAGAGCCCACTTGCGTGTTCACTGCATGTGGGGCTTTGTGGCCTGAGTTTTCAGTTTGAGTTCATGGATGAAAATGGTCTCTACAGTTGGCCCTTCAGAGGATGAGGGGTACATTGAGTTGATGTGTTTACTGTATTTCAGTATTTGCATCAGCATATTGCTTTCTAGTTTTTGTGCGCTTTTTCATTAGCTGTAAGGTGAAATCTCAAATTTGTCAGCGCTACTTCTGACATGTTTACAGAGTTTTTGGCTACTCCTGCCCTGGTCGGTTTTTTTGCTGCTCTTCATTTGGTATGTATTGTACCTGAAAGGAGGTGCGTGACGTACTTCTTCCTGCTATGCGTACAATGTGCCACACAAGTATTGCTTAAAAAAACAGCAGCAACCTTTTTCCTCATATGCAGGAGCAGAGCAGATACAATCTGTCTCCATGCCTCAAAAATCAGAGGCTTTATGGGCTGATGTTGATCAGAAGTAATACAGGCGCTTATATAAGAAAGTGGAAAAAGAACATTCAGGTGTTAACTTAATCTGACAGTTGATTTAATATGTACTGCTCCAAAGGGGTCATCGCGTGGGTGATGCTTTGCCACATAGTCTCATATCCTTACGCTAGAATTGAAATGTGCAAACACACGATTGCACCCATCATGAATGATAGCTATGTGGGAAAACGAACTGGCTAAGAACGAGCTGTTCAAAAAAACCCCACCAAACTACCACCTTACCCCTCTCCCACGCCTCCTAAAAACTCTTCCAGTCAGGTCAGGATGATGTGGGTGACGGCATGGTTGGAAGAGCCTCAGCAGTGGCACATGAATGGGAACAGAAATGCAGGAGAGGATGGCAAGCAGTTGTACAGATTTAGACATCTTGGGTCAGTCATGAAGCTACACAGTAAGGTCAGCGTAGTAGGTTTTTATTTTATTGCTTTCCCATATTATCCTTAATTCATGCACATTTTATAGGCAATGTGTTGTAACAAGGAGTTGTGCTGTGCAACGAAAATGAATTTGTTTTCTTGTGAATTATTGTTTTCCAGGGCAGAATTCTGTTTTGAAGAGAAATTTGAGGAGGGCAATCTTGTATTGCATTTTTTGACAAATTCCAGTATGGGTTTTTGTTTGTTTGTTTTAAAATATACAATTACAAGGTGCTTTTCATCAGTTGCATGCTCATTTTTCTCTTACATATTTTTCACCAACCTGATTTTTTCATATTTAGCTTTAGTCCTTCCAATACATCTCTTTTATATAATTCTTGAAGTCTTGAAAAATGGGCAGTTAGAAACAGGAACACTTAGAAAAATTAAATTTTCTCACCTAATTCACAATTGTGGTTTAGTGGTTTTTTTTTTTTAAATTCTGCCTTGTGCTATATTTGAAAATGGGAAAGATTCATGAAAGGAAAAGTAGTAAGTTTCAAAATTTTACCTTTCACTTTTTTTTTAACAGCTATTTTAATTTTTCCCTCAAAAAGTTTAGGCTACAAAACAATATAAAATCTCTTTCCCCCTGCTGTCCTGCAACAGTCTGTATCATCAGTTGCAATCCTTATGGCACCTTTTACTGGCATTACTCTTCATTCCAAAGGGGGAATCAAGTTTCATAACCCCATGGTCATACTTGAAAAAGCTTGAATCCAGCATTAATTTCAGTTAATGTTGTATAGCAAAAGCAGTTCTGTATGCTCTGGTAATCGTTTTAGATTTAGGCAGTTACTCTGGATCTGTGCAAGGAGAAGCAATTTGAAGATCCATTCAGTCCAGCCTTGAAAGCAAACAGGGGCAAATGGGAACTGCGGTAACGTTAGTGAGTGATAGGGAGAATAGTGTTCTGTGCAGGTGAAAAAGCCTTTTCTTTGGGGTGAAATGCAAACTATATGCATTCAGCCAAATTACTCTTTTTTTAAGGTCTACTAGAAGGTTTATGTAATGAAAAAGGATCTCTTCGTTCCCAGAAAGTGAATCGTATTGCTGTTTTGCACTTGTATCTCGGTGTGGGTATTCTTATTCAAACTACTACTTATTGGATTTTATTACATATTAATTCCTTCTTAGCTCTCACCTCAAAATACGTTAGGAAGAATTAGTGCATGGCAAGTCTTAAGAGCCTGTGGATTTCAGGATTTCATGAGCCCACAGGGTGAATTCTCTTGAAATGGATTTTGTCAGTTCAAAAACTGTTCTGTTCTTTAGATGTTCATCTTGTTTAAATTTTCCCTAGCTGCTTTTTTACAGAAAATCTATTGTCAAATTACTGCTGCCCGTAGAGGGCCTTTTTCAGGCAAAGTAAACAAATGTTTCCACATGAATTCTTGGAAATAATCTGAAGGTTGAGGTAACAACAATTTGTTTTGAACCTAAAAGACTAAAGCTTATAGTCTATTGGGAGGAGATGTCCTTAAGTGACACCTTCAGTCCCACCCTCTCCTCAGATACAAATATGTTTTGTAAGACCAATCTCTCTAACCTTAACCTGAGCAGGTTCCCCTTTTTCCTAAATGTTAGCTGGGTGGGCTCATTACCTGATCCTAATTTAATCCCATCCCCTCAAGAATCAAGGACACTTATTTTCTAGGATTCCACCTCCATCCCCAAAAAGATTAATGAAATGTTCAGTTATCAATGTTCATGTATGATTAAAAGTGTCTATTATTAGAACATATCTGGCAGCAGAACAACCGCCCACTTTTTGTGTAATAGGATATTAATTAATACCCTTGCTCCACAGGCAGCGAGGCTGGAGATGTAATCTGTATCCAACCTGTGGGAGATTAAACTCTTGTCTCCCGTGCTGCAGAGCATGCCCTAAGCAAGAAGCTACAGCTCAGCTGGGGAGAGGCTGTCCGCTCCACGTCCACCTCGGAGCTGAAGCCTGGCACTGATGTCCCTGGCACAGCACCGTGCCCATAGCAAGTACTAACGATTTAGGGAGCTTCACTTTGTTCTGGCTAGTTTAGAAAGGACAAAGCTTAAAAATCCAGCGTAGACTGGAATTTTGGCTTATGTCATGGATAGGGTATTCTTTCTACATAATACTGTTCTTTTTAATGAATGGAGTGTAGCAGATTCTGATACCCTCTGAAATGCTTTATTCCCTGCCTTTTATCTTTTCCAAGGGCATAAACTAGCTTTTTGCCTAATAGTGTCTTAGATCAGAATGGGAAAAATCATTGTCATGGTGACAAATCTGAAATAGGGCTTTAGCATGATACTGTAATATATATATATAGTGTGTGTATATATATACACACACTGCTCTCTAACTTGCTGTCAGTGGCTGGTGGAATTATTGGCCACGTTCAGCAGCAGACACGAGAAGAAAAGCTGAAAGCAGAGCCTGTAAGACATCTTTTTTTACTCATTGTTCTTTTGCTAGGCTGTTGAGGCCAGGTGCTTATGATATTTTTGACAAATATGATTCCACATTCAATGACATGCAAGCACTGACCAGCTTCAGTGGGAACCCTCCTCACTTGCTATCAGTTTGTCTGAGGGTGGAATAAAGTTCTGTGCTTTTGGTCTGCATTTCAGGTACAGAAAGAATGTATGGTTGGAAGCGCTTCTTTTGGTACTGTCTTGTTATCTTTTTATTAAAACAAATTATTGAGATGTTTTTCTACTTCATAAAAATTCATTACTGAGATATCTTTATACTTGATTTTGTATTGGTAAAGGCTTCATATCCATTCTTTTTATATTTAATCTTGTCCTATGACTACTAATGCATTACCTGCATAGCAGTTTCTGTGCTTTTTCTAATGGACACTTGGTGAAGAATAAGGTAGCTATGTTGTGCTGCTAGGGTTTTTTTGAAACAAACAGGTATTTTTCTAAGAAAAAAGTCATCATTCCACCCTCCCACCCCACCATGCATCTGAAATATTGAATGCATCCACAAATAGATTGTAGTTGGTCCAGCTTTCCCCTTTTTTTTATGAAATCTGAAGCCCCATCCCAAAGATGCAATTGACCATGTATAAAGATGAAAGAGAGTGTTTGTTCATGGAATGGATGAAATATCATACCCTGGTTATTTCTGATGGAACCAATGGAATTGCATTTCTCTCCAGAGCTAAAATTTTTGCTTTCTAAATTATTTGCTGCTAGAATCTGTATATGGAAGAGACAAACCTGATCTGACTTTTGAAATAATTTGATAGAGGATTCATTTAGTTGTCAGGTTTAGGGTTCACATTGGAAAAACTCAGGCAAAGGGAGGTAGAAAGGTTTCCAACTTTGTCTTGTTAAAGACAGCGTACTCAGAATGCGAATCATGAGTACTCTAAAAACTCAGACTTGAAATACAGTAAGTCTGGTGTGTTTTGTAACTTGCTATTGAGAGGGCTTGCATTCAACGTGGATTAGTCAGTGGCTATGATTTTATTTATAAATGGACTCAAATTGCTTAAGCACATGCTGGATCTTTGGCAGTACGGGAATAAGAGGTGAGCACTGCCAAGCAGTGATTCCACGCTGTGATTCAGGAATGGCATTTTTTTTACTCAGAACAGAGAAATGACCTTTTGGTATTGCTGGAACAGGAAACCAATTTAAAAAGTCAAAATCTGTCATGAAGAAGTCTGTATTCCTTTTAGTTGTTGCTATTATTATTATTGTTGTTGTTGACAGCAAGATGGAATCTTTTTCAAAGTGATCGGTTACAAGTATTTTAGTTGACCATTTTTGACGAGATCTTCATGTAAAATCTCTTTTGAAACATGGCCATGGTCTTACATCAGAACATCGGTTTGCATAACATATATTTCATAAGATGCATGTTTTCTTTTTTAAAAAGCCTGAATCATCCTCCCTACCTTTATTTTTAAGCTAAACACTTCCAACATAAATAAAAACCGCTTCTGCAAATGCAAGCTAAGCCTGTTGCTCTGTAGCCTTTGCAGCCCTCTTCCTCTCCCTTCCTTTCCTTTTCCTCTTCCACCCACCTACCTTCCTCCTACTCCTACTTCCCCAGGTGCTGGGATACTACAGAAAGCTCAATGAGTTTCAAATATTCAGCCTTCCCCCAGTTTCCAAAAGATGAATTGGGAAAATTTGAAAAAGACTAACAATAAATGGTGTTACTAAAGGCCATTCTTAAGTCCCAAAGTGCTGAGCAGTCTATAAGGTTTACATTTCTCTTAGGGGCTAATACTTTTTAAAGCAAATAAGTGGTAAAAAGTAACACAGAAGCACCAACCCATGCTTCAGGGTGACCTGAACATGCAAATTTTACACTCATGAACTGTACTAATAAATTACTTATTCTCTTTTGTGTCTTAATATTTACTGAAAATGTTATTTGAATTAACTTTTATTTAACTGTTAAAATATAGATACTGATTTATAGGTGACTTCTACCTTCCCCCTGCTCTGTTGTTATATGGTATGTAACTGTTTAGCAAGATTACCACTTTCTTCATTAAACTCAGAAGCATTTACTGGTTTGTTTCTTTATCGCAAGGTGACAGACCCCTTATGGTATATACCTGAGATTTCTTGCAGCTTGGGGAAAGAACCAGTCAGTTACACTGTAAACTTAATGTGACTAACAGGTCAGTTTGACAGCCATGTCCCAGCTGGGATTTTCCTGTTTGGGATAGTTTTTCCCTTTGGTGCTACTTTCCCTTGCTTTTTGGAGGACACTGGAATTTTTTAGTTACATGAAATATTTTGAATATAAAGCCCAGCTTATTTTTACTTTCACTCATTCGCTCTTCTAAACAAGTTAATGGAAAACTTCCAGAGTAAAAAGAAAGTCAAATCCGTAATCTTTCATGTGCCCAGTCTGATGGGACTCATGGTGACATTTGAATATAGAGAAGATTTGAAGTATTAGTTGCTTCAGAGCTACAGACACTTAAGTCTCAGCCATCCATGTCTGGGTGGTGCAAGGTCCACAGACAACGTGACACATTTAAACAAATTATCCTAACCTGAAACGTCATGGAGAAGCGCTTTGAGAATGCCTGCTCTTTCCATACTCTCCAAGGAGAACTGGTTCATTTGTTTCTAACGAGGGGTGGGTAAATGAATCCCATACTGATATATAGGTGGAGAGCTGGGTCTCATTTATTAAGGAAAGTGAGAAGACTAAATAGAAAAGTATTTTTAGTATTTCTTGTCTATTCATGTAGAGAGATGTACAGTAGCTCTTCCTAATCAGTGAGTTTTGAACTAAAGGTCTCTCATTGCTTTTAATTCAAGCAAGTAGTCCTTAGGTCCTAAGATTCCCCTTCAAAGTATTTTTTTCTTCCACAAAAATTAAAATTCTATCTTTACAAGCTAATACAAATTTAAGGGAAAAAAAAAAAAAGGTTGTGTGTCTGTAGAAATCTGCTGGGACAATGTGATTGTTTCTATGAATTCAGACTACAATTCTGTGCGAGGTCATCTAATCTTTAGTCAGTTTTAAAGCAAAAGAAGGCAGAAGATGTCTACCTTATCTAATGTGTCAGTGTTCTAGGGATAACACCACTCCCTGATATCACACTGCTGTGAAAATCCCTTCAGATGGGATTGAATGGGAAAATTGATCTACTTTCAAATGCCATTTTCCTGAACAATAAAGGTCTACAGGTCACTCCCACCCTGAAAAAAACCTGACCATTGACAGAACTGGATTTCTTATAGTAGCAG